CTTTCCTAGCGCTGTCAGTCTTCTGATGGTGGAAGTCTTCTGATGATGGATCTTGTGATGTGTCTGCCCATCCCAGGCTGCTGTAGGCGCAGGAGTCTCCTGTCTCTGCCGAGCCTGTCCATGGCCCTTAGTGTCGGGGGCCGGAGCCTCTGTGCTGAGGGTCCTCAGCAGGCTGCAGTTGGGGAACCCCTGCAGATGTGGTTGGGGAAAGAAGGTTTTGCTGTCTCAGTGGGATTTTAGGGGCTACTTCAGTTATGACCCCTGAAGTATGTGACCCACGTGCTACACTTTCTCTTCACCCCTCATTCAAATAACAAATTCTTAGCAGGCTTGCTTGGTACCTTTTGAATAGCAGAGATAACCTGTCTCCCCTCATCTGATTTGATTAAAACGTTTCTACAGCTATTTTGGATATTAATCATGAATGAAAACAGGGGACTGTCCTACTTATCACTATCCATCTTGGAAGGCATTTGTTACAAATGGCTCAGTGATCAAAGCAGCGCAACCCTGAATGTAAATAGCAGCAGAGAGAGGGCTTGTGAGTGAAAAGCAAGCAATTATTGCACAAGGTCAAGAGTAGTTTGTATGATGAGCAAGGAAGATAAAATATCTGCAGTCAAACTGTGATTCTTGTAAACAAGGGGGCTTTGGATTTCAACATCTTGTGTTTTTGAGCGAGAACAAATTGAGGGGGAAGGGAGCAACAGATCTGTTTCTCGCTTGTGCTTGCCTGGAGGTGACTTAGACCTGGTGCTTTCAGGACATGCACCCCAGGACCTGGCCGTGCCACCAGCTGATCTGCAGGTTTGCAAACCTCCGTCACTGCAGTACGGATGCGTTCCTTCAGATCTACCTTCTGATGCTGAGTGCACGCTCCACCACAGGGTTCTGTTTGGGAACTGTGTAGGAAAGCACTCTGCGGAGAGGAACCTGGGTGTCCTGGTGGACGACAGGTTAACCATGAGCCAGCAGTGTGCCCTGGCTGCCAAGAAAGCCAGTGGGATCCTGGGGCGCATCAAGCAGAGTGTGGCCAGCAGG